CACAGCTTCCTCGGGCAACCCATTCCAGTGCCTCACCACCCTCACTGTGAAGAACTTCTTCCTTATATCTAACCTAAACTTCCCCTGTTTAAGTTTAAAGCTATTACCCCTTGTCCTACTACTAGAGTCCCTAATGAAGAGTCTCTCCCCAGCATCCTTGTAGGCCCCCTTCAGATATTGAAGAGTAGTAAGAATTGAGAGTAGTAAGAATTTAAAAAAATAAATTGTATTTGGATTTTATGCTTCTAGATTTTTATCCTCTGGAGTCAGTAAAGGGGAATTAGATTTGCTCTAATAAATTAAATTCTGCAATAAAAGACAGTTCCATTCTTTTCAAGATAGTTTAACTAAACAGCAGTAGCACGTAAATGTGAAACTTCGTGTTGTTCATCAAACAGGGGAAGTTTAGATTAGATACAAGGAAGAAGTTCTTCACAGTGAGGGTGGTGAGGCACTGGAATAGGTTGCCCAAGAATGCTCCAGCCCTGGCGGTGTTCAAGGCCAGGTTGGACAGAGCCTTGGGCCACATAGTTTAGTGTGTGGTGTCCCTGCTTATGGCAGGGGGCTTGGAACTAGATGATCTTAAGGTCCTTTCCAACCCTAACTATTCTATGATTCTATGTTGGAAGAATTATTTAGGCTGCAGCTGTCATTTACTAACCTAAGTAAAACTGTCAGTTCAGTCAGTGAACCTTGCCTGTGTTTTTGAAATAGACTAAGAATATTATAGCTCTGCAGAAATGTATTCTGAGAACTCAGGTTTGTCCTTGAATGTTTGTAGTTGGGCAAATCTACAGTGTATTCAAGAATCCATTAAGTAGTGTTTCTTTTTGTATTTAAAAATGTGTCATGTGAAGGGATAAGTGCAGCCACACATGATAGCTGGATTTCCCTTCTGTTGCACATATGAACAATGTTCTTCTTGTATCACAGGTCTAAAATCTCCATAAATATCTTTGTGAAGAAATTAATTGAGTTATTAATATACACTTGCTTGTCAAGCTAAGCCTAGAGTAATAATGCTTTTTATGTAATATGTCAAGTTCTTTATTCAGGCATTCTGACATCCTCTACGTTACACCTGAGACCTAGTGAATTATTAAATTTTTTGAATCTTGGATTATAGCAGCTTCAATTAGAAAATTAGCTTTTGGTATTGTCATCCAGTAACAAGTAGAGAAGATTAATTTAAAGGGGAAAATCCTTCAATTTTTGCTTATTTAGAAAAATATTAATAGATGAGCATGCTTCCTATTGAGAACTCCTTGCCTAAGACTTCCTTTTGCAACACCTCTAGAAAATAACAGCCACTCAGGATGATGTTCAGTGTTATATTAGAAGATGGTTGGATATAATGAGGTTTTATGTGGTTTATCTGTTTGAATAAAACCCAGTTGATTTGACTGTTCATAGAAAACTTGAAATCTGGCATAACTGCACCTACTTTTGTAACAAGTCTTGCTTTCATGCTCTTTTAAAATTTGCCTGATGTGCTGCTGACATTACTGAAGCTGTAATACATAGCAGATGTTACCTCTTAGGCATCCCTGATGTAGACGCAGCACAAAACATACCTCTAACTTCACAGACCTTTTGGATGCACACACAACCATAACTAGTATAAGAACTATCTAACATACGCAAAACTTTAGATCTGGTAAGGTTTTAATGAAGTAGACTGCAGGTTCCCCAGCTACAGAATGCTGTTTTAAGCCACTTTCATTTAATCGTTTAACACTGGATTTAAGTTTAGCCATATAATCCTGTCCTGTTACTAAACTACAGCTTCAGTATTCTCAGTGGCTGGAGAAAGGAGCACTTGTCTTCATTCCTTTACCTTCATTCATCTTTTTTAGGGGAGGTGAGAGGAAGAGTACTGTAAAGTATGGCAGAGGGTGAAATCGTATACCATATGTAAAGTCATGCCTACGTTTTGCAAGAATTGAATGAGGTAGTTTCTAATGATTCTGCTGGGGGTTTGTGTGTGTGCACTGGAGTAGCTCGTAAAGTAGTTCATCCACAGTTGTTTGTAATCTCTCTGTGGTATCTTTTGGTATTCTGAATACCGTGAGTAAAATCTATAAAAATGGATGAAGATAGTTTTTTGGTGGCATGCTGCTGTCTGCAGCCTGGTTGGATGTCAGTGCAGTCATTTCACTTCAAATGATATTTTAAAAGTTTTTTTTCTTTCATTGTGGGTTTTTTTTTTTTTTTTTTGTTTTTTAACAGCAGTAGAAGCCACTGTTTATATCCTAAAGTATTCGGTGCAAAATGGCTTTTTTTGTTTGTTTCTATCTGAAAAGTGACAAATTCCAGGAATCTGAAAGCCCATGGAGTAACATGGTATTAGATTGCAATCTAATACCACATTTGTCTTGGTTAATAACTGAAAACAAAGGCTTCTGTATTCAGGCTATAAAATGGGAAAGGTCTCTAAAAAGGGGATTTGTAGTTCCTGTGATTTTAATTTCACTAGTAGCACTTGCATCTATCCTCATGCTTCCCTCACTTGTGCTGCTAGCACTGTGTGTGTGGGTGAACCAGTCAGGAGAAGAGCCACGTAAAACCAGTGTGGCCTCAACATCAGATCAGGCTTCCATGCTGCAGCACTAGGTACTACTTCATTTAAGACCCTCCACCAGTTTCTTTTTTACCTTTATTTTAATTCCTATTATATTTTGATTTGACCTCTCTGTATTGAACAATTCTTTGTGAATTAAAAAATTTAATATTAGAAAGGTGTTATCCTTTATTTGAGATTCGTATGAAACTGCTAGAGACTGACTGACAATAAAGTACCAACTATTTCTGAAAGAATTAATCGTACTTTAGCAACAAATTCAGAAGACAGGGATTCTGGTTTTTTTTTTTCTTCTAATTAACGTCAAGATGACTCAAAAAATGTGTTGAAGTGAAAAAGTGCCAAGCAGAGGATTTCCCTTCCACCCTAAGGAAGATAGTCCAAAAAGTATAGGATCCAGCTCAGTAGAAGCATAAATGCAGACTGAGGCCTGGATTTGTAAGTCTGTGTTTTAGCTGTGGTGCGAACTTTAATGGCTTTTCTCTTGAATGTACTAGTACAGGTCCTGAAAACTTAGTCTGTGGTCTAACAGTCATCTCGGGACACTTGCGGGCCTGAATGGTTTTGTTATTCTTTGGGGTTTTTTTTTCTTCCAGCGAAAGTTTTATTGTCTGAAAAAATGATGTTTTTTTCAGTGAAAAATTGAAGCTTAGGGTGCATTTGTAAGACTGGGGGGACAGGGGGAAGAGAGACAACAAAACCAGAAAATACTAAAGTTTTCATGAGAAATAGGAGTAAGAGATGCATCCATTCAGAATAACAAAGGGCACTATTTTCTGAAGGGTGGTAGGAAATCACTGCAATTATGCAGGACTGCTATTGGCTGTTTTCTTACTCTCTTGCTTCACCAGGCTTCACTTTAGTTTTGCCTGGCCACTGATACTATGTATGTTTTCATTTTTCTCATCTGAGAAATAATGTTTTATGTTGGAAATATTGTACTTGCTGGTGCCTTTTCTGTGCAGGTGATTTGATTTTCTTTTTAAATTTTACATTGCAGTTAGCATATAGGATAAGCTGAATTTTGATATAGATTAGAGCTGTTCTTGGGGCAGAAATTAATTTTATCTACTAGAAATGGGTCCAGTGAGAACAAAAAGAGAGGGGAGCTGGAATTATATGCGTTCACTTTGTTTCACTTGAAAACATTTGCTAAGAAGCAGATGGGGGGGTTGTATCTAAATCTGTTGCTGTCTTAATTCTTGTAAATATGAGCCTTTTTGTCTTTTTTCACTTAAAAAGGAAACATTAGGGAAGGAAATCGGGAATTCATAGAATGACTTCTAATTGCATTACTTATGAATTGTAGATGGGGGAAAACAGTTTTCTGGCTTGAAGAGGTGGATTTAATTTATTTCCAGATGGAACCTCTTGTGCATTCTTTGAGTTATTCCTAATTTTGTCTTCTGTCCTTTTTTCTACCTTCAACCGATTGCTTTGTTTCTTCCTTTATGGTAGTTTCTTGAAAATTGCTGAGAACTTTAAAAAGTTTTAGTTTTTACAAACAGTATTTCTAGTCATTGAGACTAATTATTGTAAAATGGGGAGATAATATTGTACATAGTGTTAGGTATTTGTTAATAATTTCATACCACTTGTTAAAGGAAAAGAGGTCTCATGGTCTGTCCAGGCAAAGCTGCCACCGGCTCTTGGATCTTAATTTAGCATAGCTGAAATAGAAAAAGGATACATTGAAACCTTTCCTTATCCAGTCTGTATGCAGCTTCTACATGTGGAAGGGTAGAATTACAAAAACAATCATGTAATTGCTTTAATGGTTCCTTTTAAAATGTCCTTCTTTGTTACCTACTTGAGGATAGCCAAGAGGGGTTAAAGACTCCAGCAATGTCTGGTCTTCCATTTTCTTGCTTTGCCTTCCCTTTGAGCCAGCTCATTAATAAATCATTAACTGTGCTTTGTTTTTTTTTTTTTGCAGAGGATGTAATGCAGACTACTTACTGTGAAATTGACTTGGACAAAGGAAGAAGAGATGCGTTTGTGTATGCTATCAAAAATCACTATTGGTACCAGATGTATATTGATGACTTGCCAATATGGGGTGAGTGATATTATGCAGAAACAGCTTGATTACAACTACAGGAGTCCTGTGCTGGTGGGTTTCATGGAGTCGTTTAATGACTAAGCTTTGTTAGCTCACAAGTATGTAGAACTTAGGTAACCAAATAATACAGAGAAATAGAAGGATTGTTGCATTGAAAGAATAGTAGGATGGCTTGTACTAGTGAATTGCAGAAACAGTGAAAAGCTGGTTTTTTTCTCAAGCACTGGTTTAATAATGCCAATTTCTTAGGATTAAACTCTTCTAAATGCTGAAGTGAGTGGTAATTAGATATGTCAGATAAAAGATCCATGTTAATGTTATGAATAACAACTTTTGTAAAACTCAATGTTTAAACAGTATTTTGCTAGTTCTTGTGTTCATTGCTAATGCAAGAGCTGTTTGATTTATGGTAATTTAGTGACTTTATAACAGTTTTATGTGTGCAGTCTGTGGTTATATGAGGGAGTTTTATTTTACTTGTTCTTACACAGTTCTTAAAATTGCTCTTGCTGAGTATTATTAATCTGGGTTTAAAGTGCCTGTGTCTTGAATAAAAAATTGTGTCCTTACTGCCATTGTCTTCTAAACTTTCTGCTTTTTGTTACTCCCTTGTAACCTGTGATCACATACCTATTAAAGATTGCTCTGAAGATTGTACTTGACATTGATAGCAATCAGTCAAGCCCCAAAGCCCTTTTGTAGGTATAAACTGAAGGGAAATGAAAAGCACCACAAAATGCTTTGTTAAGGGAAGGTCTTTGTTGTCTGTGTTTCATGAGAGAGGTAAAACCATCTAAAATAAACAAAATCCCACAACACCTTCAAGAATACAGTTCACAACACATGACAGAAGTAGGTTTTTTCAGGTCTTTCTTGTAATTTTGATAGGTTTTAGAAAGTAGCTATCTGATGAACATGAGCCTCAGCCAGAAATGCTAGTGCTTTATTTGTTTTTCATTTATCTGTTAGCAAAGTTCTTGCTTTTTAAAAAAATGTATCTGTTTTTAAGAGATAACATTATAATGCCTGACAGGAGAAGTTCTCATATGTTGTATTTGTTCTTTTCAGATTATTTGCTTAGTGTATATTAACAGTTCTGTGGCAGGACTTGAAGTAGACCCTAATTAATCTGTGTGGCCTTTACTATACATATTGTGCAGTTGCTGGTAGGCTTTTTAAAAGCATTCATGAGTAACAGTTGTTTCTGCAATATTTTTTATGCTTTTGGCTTTTCAGCAGAAGATCAATGAATGATTTTCATAGACTAGTGACAGCTGTGTTGGCTTTAGACAGCCCGAGGATGATGGATGTAAGCTGATGTCTTTGGAATCATGTGTGGCTAGTGGATTTTAGAGACTTTCTTTTTTAAGACTGATTTTTCAAATCTTATTTGTGAGCATTTCTTCTCACCTCAAATACCACAGAATAAACAGTAAATCTTCTACACACTGACTAAATTTTATGCGTTTGACTGAAAAATCTGTTTTACTGTAATTCCAGAATTTGTAATTTTCTTCAGTATGCTTTGTATGCACAAGAAGCTATTCCTAATGCTACAACTAACAAACATACAGAACCTAGGTATCATCTTTGTGTTATGTTAAGAAGCTGGTTTTGATAGTTGTTTGGAAACAGGACCTCAAGTTGTGATGCTTAATACATGGCTACAGCATTGTAAGTACTGTAGTATTATGCAAGGATATAATCTGACATGAAGCGTGAAAGCAAATGGTGCTGATGATTTGGTCTGTTTCTCCTGTGGGCTAGGTAAAATTAGCAGGACTGGAGATTGGTCAGTCAATACTAGCCTGGGTTTTATTAAAAATAAAATAATCTGTTCTTGATGGGGGGCTGCAAAAGGAGTGGATGCACCCGAACTGATTGAAAGTGTTCATCTGCAAGCCTGAACAAGTCTTTCTGACCTTTGTGTTCCAAGTAGAGTTTAGAAGACTGTGAATAGAGCTTATCTGCATTGATTCTGGTTGGTTTTGCTGGGTCTGTGTTCAACAGGAGGAATATTTTGGGCTCTGAGGGCTGCCTAAAACTTAAAGCTCTGACACTTGCTGCTCAGGACATCTCCCTAAGTATATGGAGTGCTGTGTTAGTTCACTCCTTCAGGTAGTGATTGATCAGAATGTTGTTTAAGTAGTTTAGAAGTGGGTATTGTCATGCGTTTGGATACTACCATGAGAACAGATGGTACGCCAGGTGCTGGGCTGTATGGCATAGGTGCAAACTGGCACGTGTTTCATGTGGAAGGCAATCCTGACAGATGAGCACGAGTGAAAAACATGACACAAAAATACCACCTTGAAAATTAAAAAGTACAGGTAATGCACATCTGCTATTCCTTCATAGGCCTGCTGCTTTGTGATAACCTGTTCCATATCCTTCACCACCTTGTTTTCCCCCTCCCTGCCCTCACCTTTTTGCATCTTGACTGCTGTTTTTATTTGTGGCTTTCTATCTTGTATGTGACATTTGATATGGTGGTCTTGACGTTAAAGGGGACACTTGTAGCCTGTGATTTTCATGATTGCTAGACTTGACTTCCCCACCCCCCCCCGGCATAGGACGTTCTCTGGAATTTTCTAGAAAATAAATAATAGACGTTTTTGCAGTAATTTATTGAAAAGTAAGAACTTAATCATGGCTAGTGTTGAGTGTAGTTGTGTTTTGATGTTCCAGGAGCATCTGAGCAGTTTCAATGTTGGAGGTAATAAAAATCTTCACATAAGCATATAACTTTCTGAAATTGTCAGTGAAAGTAACAGAATAATCAAGAACTACCATTCTTGACAAGTGTTGGAAGCTTGGGTGCAAGTGAGAGCAGAAAGTGTGTGTTGGGGAGTCAAATAATTAGGAATACAGAACTGAAGTAAAATTTCTAAGAGGAAGAAGAATGAATGAAGCAATATACATGAAATGGGAAAATACAGAGGTCTTGGCTAAATTCTGTTCATGGAAATTAAATCTGTATTCAGCTAGTTGTTAATCTGGTAAGAATTCCAAGTAAACCTAGAGGAACTGTTGCTGAGTCTTCTGTTTCTTCTGAAGTGTTTGTAGCTGCATGCTTTTTCCTTTTAATACCATTACAAAATGCTTTTTGCAGCTACCTGAGAATTGAAAGAACAATCCAGGTATTAGAGTTGAAAAGAAGAGCATTAAGGTCTGCTGTGTTCTCTTTACTGCAGTCATGTTGCTTTTTTAGCTGGCAAAACTTTTGCATATTTTAAAAAAATAATCTCAGAGTATTTAAAAAGCATACCTGTAATAGCTGCTTACGCTTGTTTCCTATGCAGGTATTGTGGGAGAAGCAGATGAAAATGGAGAAGATTATTACCTTTGGACTTACAAAAAACTTGAAATTGGTTACAATGGAAATAGAATTGTAGATGTCAACCTGACCAGTGAAGGAAAGGTGAAATTGGTACCGAACACAAAAATTCAGATGTCATATTCAGTAAGTAATTTGGTGATGCATCTGTAATAATAAATTCTACATTATGAAGTAGCTCAAAAATAGGTACTTGTATATTTAAAACTATATTAGTGGAAGATGTATTTTCACTCCTTCACATTTTTTAATTTTTCATTACTGACAAACATTGACAGGTTTATTAATAATATAAAATCTTTTTTTGAACATTTCAAACATACTGAAGCTTCTATAATCTTCAGAAAAGTGTTTTGGTGGGAAAGGAAGATGTCTGAGAAGGTATGGAGACTAGAATTGTAGAGAAGCCACCAGTAGGTACGCATTTTCTTAAATTTGGAGCTCTAACACTTGGATTGTAGATTTGAGCTGTATTCTGAACTATGATCAAAACCTACTGTAAGCCTTCATACTTTGCAAGCAGTTAGTATCAAAGCTTATTTTGATTTTGTAATTCCAGCAGAAATTTGTCTTATTTGTATAACTTTCAGTAAGGTTTTCTCTGAAGCCTTCTGCTAGTATATTGAATTGCTATGGTAAAAGGTAGTGAATAAACATTTGCTATCCAGGATAAATTTTTTTAGTTTTCCTCCTTATTTATTTGATGTTACTTATATCTGTAATGGTTCAGTTCTCATGTTCGCCATATTTCTATACTAAAACTAGTTCTTAATGAATTCTTTTACAGTATGGTAGCAATAGGTATAAGCATACAATTCTATTTCAGAGGATATTCTTGCCACTATTACATTCATCTTGTGCTGGGTAAGTTGTATAGTTTGAAGTGCAGATAATTGTGTTTAAATGTACCTTCTAGAATTACTTTTACACTGATTTCCCTATTTCTGCTGCAAAAGCAATAGTAGAAATTTCAAAATTTTCTATTTCAAATTCCACAAGCATTGTGAAGTCCATTTGTTCTGTGAATTTTGAGGTGGACAGCACTGAATTAGCTGCCAGTAATGAAAATAACATTAGATATTTCCTTAAAATACTTTTTAGTATACAAAGCTTACTTATAGAACTCTGTTTGCGCTACTTGGCAATTGCTGGGCTGGCATGTGCGTGCTGTTTAATTCACAGATTTTCTCTAGTGGATTTGTTCTAAGCAGTGCTTCTCAGTAGCAGATGCTCTAATGAGAAATATATCTGCTTAAAACAGTGTTGAAATTAATGTTGTGAGCTACTAATCTTGAAAAAGGTTGTAATTTGAACTGAAGAATATTAGTATCATACCTCAAAGTGGGTAATACTTAAGTCTTGGTGTTTTTAATCTGTCTCAGGACTGTAGTGAGTGATATGGGTATTCAATCTATATGTATATGCTTTCCTTTAAACTGAATAAGAGAACATGTGTTTTGAAAGGATAGTTCCTTGTCATATATTTTAAACAGATATGCAAATAGGGTCTGCATTTGTTCCAAGATCACTAAAAATCCTGATATTTCCTAATCTTGGCATACTTTTGAAAAAAAAAAATCAGTGTATATTTGGTTTTAATTTCTGAAATTGCATTTTAAAATTAAAATGAAAATAGTATTACAGGAATTCTGAAAAATTCTTTGTGCTACCATATTAGCACTTCATGGTTCGTTAGTACAATTAAATCTTCCAAAGCCAAAGCGGTCTTCTGTGCAGCTAGTGGGGTAACTGATGGCAGTAATACGGTCTTACCCTGTGATAATATTGCCAGAAACACATACTTTGCCAGCTGGTTTCGGAGTTATTTATTGGCAATTTAAGTGTCAAGACTGCAGAATCCTGTGGTCTTAAAGATTTTAAGCTGCATATTTTAGCTTGTAGCTTTTAAAATTTTAATATCTGTCTTTTAGATTCCAGTTTGATCCCTTTTATCCAGTTCCCTTCAAGTACAGCTTGTATCTCAGTTTATGCCCTTTTCTTTCCTATTGGCATCTATTTTAAATCAGCTCTTACATATTCTCATTTCACTCACTCCTGCTAGACTGCGTCTTTTTTTCTTGGGCACTGTACTTGGAGAATTTAGGCACAGATGATTTCACTGAGTACAAGTCTCAATCCATGGCAGCAAAGCAGATCTCAGCTGCTGTTGGGGGAGCAGAAATAGACAGTGTTGTCATTGCTCAGTGAACGCTGGTAATATTCTTCACAAGCATCTTTTCAAACAGCATAGCACATGGAAATGTTGAGAAAGGGAAGTGTGCTGTCAGGAAAACCAAAATTCAACAAACGACAAAAACAAAAACCAAACTTCGAAAAATTTCCACTACTTTTTAGCATGTCATTCTTGAACATATTTAAACATGCTTTCTTTATCTGAAATCTTGAGCAAATCTGGGAGGATTTTGCAAAGGTATTGCTTTGTTGTTTTACAAGTATCTACTATGGGGAAAAAAACCCCCATCATATTTGAACTACTTGTTTGACAAAACTGAATAATAGGGTCATTTGCTGGATTTTGGTTTTGGTACCTTCAGTATGAGTGTCTTCATGAGCTCCTTCTATAATCATGAAAAGGGTTTGTTGTATTTGGCAACTAGAAGTTTGCATCTTTGGTTAACCTTGCAGAGATGGTGACTGCTGAGGCAGTTCAAGTCTCATTCTTCCTTCTTCTTAAACATAAACATAGACAAGATTGCTATGAGGCATGGTGGCTAATGTTCATTCTGTGTCTTACCAATAGATACCAGTCTTTAAGTACACAAGTCCACTGTGTTTGCCAAAACCTAGATTCATATTGAAGAATACATCTAAAGTGGGTGATTGTAAAAATGCATTTTGGGTCTCTGCATGGGAGTATAGCTGAACATATTATATTACGAGTACTTCAAGTGTTAATTTTTCTCTCTTTAGGTGAAATGGAAGAAATCAGATGTGAAGTTCGAGGACCGATTTGACAAGTATCTGGACCCATCGTTCTTTCAGCATAGAGTATGTATGGTTCTCAGACAACCTTACAAAATATCCCTTTGAAATGGTTGCTTTAGGTCAGAAGATTTCAGGGAATTTTTGGATGACATCTTTGAATTTTTGGATGTCCCAGTTGTCCTGGGACAATGAAACAGGCAGGTCTAGGACTGCAGATGTTAAGACATAGTTCTGTTGCTCAAATAGGATGGTTCCGGTTTTTTAGAGTGCTTCAGTAAATGTGCAGACAAGCTTCAAACCTGCAGCAAATATAAAGCAGTTCAAGAAAATATATTCACATGATGGGAAGCAATGAAATTTCAGGGACACAACTATATGACTTGTAAGCTGGATAACTGCAATTGATCATATGTGCATTTTTTTACTGAAGTAAATGCAAAGCAAAAAGCATTAGCCTAAGCCAATTGGCAGCGTTGGTTGTGGTTGTTTAAACCTATGGTGGGTAGTCTCCTTAAGGGTAGCATACTGAGCTGTACTCTTTTTTGAAATCAAAGGGTTTGGATTCTGTTTGGAGCTCAGTAAAAAGCAGGCAGTGTGCTTCTTGGAGACAGAATAATGCTGCTGCACATTTTGGTCCTGTGCAAAGCAGTGATTCCTTTGGCGTTTTGGCTGTGAGCATCTTTTTTACTTAAACCTCCTCTCTAGGAAGGCAGCAGTACATCATGTTGCCTTTCCTTTACCAAGGAAGCACGCACAGCTAGTTGTTCAAACTTTGCTGTGATAACTTCATCATAAGCAAGCTTGGCCATTGAAAAGCTTTATGTGTGGTGTTTCACAGGCCAGTCTGAGTGGGACTTTCTACCATTGTAGTGTTACTTACAGCATGGGTTTATTGTTACTTTGCTAGTGTTGACAAGCTGTCCTGCTAGGCGACAGTTCATCCTTATTGGAACAAATCTGAAACACATTTACACTTTTAAACCTTAGGGATGTGTTTTCTTTTTGTAGATTCACTGGTTTTCAATTTTCAATTCTTTTATGATGGTGATCTTTCTGGTTGGCCTAGTGTCTATGATATTAATGAGAACTTTGCGAAAAGATTATGCAAGATACAGCAAAGAGGAAGAAATGGATGATATGGTAAGATCTGCATTCGCAATTTTTTCAATCTCTTTTTTTTTTTAAAGCTTATTGTTTTCATACAGAAGGAAAATTGCCATATATATGTGTCTTGAAAGTTACTGGATTTCTTTTTAACATGGTCCTAGGTTGCAAACCAGAATTGTCTGTAGTCACTGTGTTAATGCTCATATCCATACTTAGGTTAAATGAGGTCTATTCTAAGTGTGTAATAGAAGCCTGTATATACTCCTAAGAACTTCTGAGAATTTTAGGGACAGGGAAGGAATGTGATAGATTTTACTGCATTGTACATTCAAGTAGTAATTTTTGTTGTTTTCAAAAGGAAACTTTTTTCCTAGATTTGATGCATTCAGGGGAGAAGACGTAGTTGCACTTGAAGTTGCTTTAAGAAATCAAACCTTTAATTTTCGCCTAGCTTGTGTGTTTTTTAATTAATTGCCATGATTAGTCTTAAATCTTTTTTTGTTCTTGCTCCTAGGACAGAGATCTAGGTGATGAGTATGGGTGGAAGCAGGTCCATGGGGACGTGTTTAGACCATCCAGTCATCCACTAATATTTTCCTCGCTTATTGGTTCTGGTTGTCAAATTTTTGCAGTGTCTCTTATAGTCATTGTTGTTGCAATGATAGAAGATTTATACACAGAGTAAGTATAGTAGTACCATGCCTTCCATGTATAAATGCTTAAATGAACAAAATAATTGCAAAAGTGGATGTTCTAACTGGTCTGGAAAAAAGTGTTTGAGAGTCTTTATCTTTAGATCAGCTGTAGTATTCAGAAGGGCTCTTTTAAGTTGTAATGAAACTTTGTCCTACTCTTATTATGTGAGTTGGTCTCCTTTAATTTTATTCTTTCAATGCTTGCTTTTTACATGATTTGTTATGAAACTAGTCTGTTGTTCCGCAGCATCACGGGTAGATTATATGGGAAATAAATGTTAAAAGGTACATATTTCACTCCTGGTTTCATCTGGAGTGACAAGGTATTACTGTATTTCTTACCCTATTTTCCCCACCATGTCCTATAAAGAACTGGAGTGGGAGCATGCGATGTTGTGAGTAGTTCTGTTTGCTGCTAACAATGCATTAAGTCAGATGTCTTATGCACAACTCTTCTCAGCATTGGAGATTTAATTTCTTAAGTTCTTTAAGACAGGTACTGCTCAACCTGTGTTGCATGTAAAACCTCCAGCAACACAGGGGCTGGGCTCCTGATTGGGGAGAATTCATTTAAAACAAAAAAAGTGCTCAAGTTTAAATTTAACACACCACTTGTGGTTCACCCTGTTCTTTTCCTTTACTTTATATCCGTTTGAGGTTTTTGGTGTCCTGGATGGACTACTTATGTTTCCTTAGTGATTGTATTTTGGATACTGTGGGGATTTTTTTTTTACAAGTGCTTTATTTTAAGCAATGAGTAAAATTTCAGATCTCTTCGATTTTTCCCTTGACTATCACGTGTAACTATCGATTTTAACAAGTTGTAATGCTCCTAGTGTGCCACTAGAGAGAACTCTTGTTTTTGAAGTTAGCTGCGTTGTATTGGTGTGATTAAATAGCCACTCTGTAGTAGCAGTACGTTGGCATATTTTCATTTTTCATATGGTATTATTCCCCCCTTGTGCCCCATGGTTACATTTCTAGAGAGATTTACATACACATTTTTTATTGTACATTATGTCAGCCCTTTAAGGGAGGGAACGAAACCATTTCAGAATGTTCATGCACTGTAGGAAAGCTGTAACTTGATAATGGCAATTGTAAAATGTGGCAGAACAGTAATTTTTAAAAATGTATGTGCACTTTTATTGCAGTATCACTTTATATCACTCTAAGTGAATTTAATTCTGGGTGTGTAGCAGAACAATTGACCAAATCAGGTGCAGACAGTTCTTACGTTTAGAAAAATAGTGATGTGAGTGAAAAAGGCTGTAAACCAGATTTACAAGAATGGTTGCCTGTCAGTGTTCTTCAGGTCTGTTAAAACTCTCGGGAGTCATGTCAGCTGTTAATTTATTATACTGTATTGTGTTTTGAGAAGCTTTTCCATTAGAATATTTGAAGCGTAAGTGAGTAAGCTTGAGAATAGGAAATTTTGAGACTATTTAAGATGAACATCTCTGGGTCATTTTATGATTAGCCTGGATTTACGTGTTTCACTTCAGACCATGCATAGTCTTCTGGGGTTTTACATGTGTTTCTGAATTGTCTTAAGTTAGGAGAAATGTTGAAAGTGATTTCTGTCTCACCAGTAGCTTTCTAAAATGGAACTATTTTTTTTAAGAGTCAAATGGTAGCATGTGTGACCAGAAGGTGTATTTGCTTAGTTCAATTCATGCAGTCATGGAAGCCAGTTGTACTAGATTACTTCTTCGAGTAGGGCAGGCATTCAGTAATGGTTCGTCAAAAGCCAAAATACCAATAGTCTGGAATCTCTCAGAACAACTAATTTGAAGAAAGTACAGCAAAGTGGCTGAAAACTTTCTGCTTTTTGCTATCAAAGAGTAGCAGAGGGGCACGGAGATACAGCTCTATTCATAGAGCTGTTTTGTTATTCAAAATGAATAACATTTGTATCTTGCTATAATTTTTAGCCATGATTTTTAAAAACGTATTTGGAGATGGCTTTTATAATTTAAAATTACAAGCCTTGCCTGTAAAATTCAGAAAAATTATGCCAAAATGAGTACTCCAACATTTAATGAGGTGATAATTTTAAAATTACTAAACTCTTCTGACTGGCCTACTCTGTGCTGATTTGTGGCTTCATTATAGTATTTATAGTTTATGAATTGGGATTTCTCATTTTCTGTAAGATGAACGCTTTCCATCTTAAAAGTTAATTTCTGAGGGATGGCAGAAACATCATTCACAATCTTAGTATATTTTTGTTAATACTGGCCTTCATATTAAGAGGACCTTTTATCTGCAATAGTTGAGTCTTATGTTTAATGTACATCATGTAAATAGTTCGGTTCTCTATACACAAAGTATACCTATCCAAATGTCAGAATATCTTGATCAGAGACGAGGTTTTTTACTCCTGTGAAAATAAATGCATGTTAGAAAAGAATGTAGTATGTCAAAACTCTTTTTTTCCAGGTTGAATTAGACTTGGCCAGAAGCTTTGCATGCAAACAGTTCTCATTATTACGCAAATTTTACAATTTCAGCACTTTTAAATTATTGCATTAGATAAATATATTAAATAACTGCTTCTAAATGTGAATATCTTACTGTAATCTTTTGCTCTAATACAGTTTTCCTATTTCATTTACCAAAAAAATCACTTATTGTAGGAGAGGATCAATGCTTAGTACAGCTATATTTGTTTATGCTGCAACATCGCCAGTGAATGGATATTTTGGAGGAAGCCTTTATGCTAGACAAGGAGGTAAATGTTTTCACGTTTCAGCATTTTCATTAAATTCTTAAAGGAAGAAGTTATTTTGTGATTTGCACCGGTATAGAAGTGTCCTCATGGACTTAGGCCATTCAGATGGAATCCATTAAATTCTTAAGAAACAGAAATATGTTGAGTATAGTTAACTTTGATATTATTTCCTATTCAGTATTGGCTGCATTTTCTAACTAAAGATAGCTGAAGTCTTTGGTTAATTTAAAAGTAATAAGAGCTAAAGGACTGTTAACAGTTGTATTTTATGAATTGCTTGTTATACTCTTTGTATATAATTGTTTGGGTCGTGAAATCCAGAGAGTGTAATAGTCTCTCTCTCATCTATAATGTTCTGTTAAACTGCTTCACGTCGTCTTCTCTAGATGACTCCTACATAGCACTCCTTTATAGGTACCAGGGGGTTATGTTTACTAACACAGAAAGTACTTGCAATACTTACTAGACCATTAATTGTGGGTTGGGAGAACTGTTTATAGCATCTTTCAAAGAAGGTTATTCTTCTTTCCAGTATGTGCTCTGCTTTATATTAGCAAATTCAAAATGAGTATCAGTAGAAAGCAGAAACCCAATAAAATTGACATAGCAGATTTGGACAGGCTGTCTTCGAGTGCTCCCCACTATGCCTTTGAGTTATGACCAATTATGTCCTTGCAGTCCAATAGTTTCATCCATTCCCTATGCTGCAACAAAAGAGTAATCAATATCTATTATCTTCTACAGTGCTTTATTAAAAATAATTCCGGTAAGTTTGCAGAAGAAAATCTTGTATCTCTTTAGCACCACATGTTAGTATTGAGTCTCAACTGCACTGTACTCTTGAGTTTTGAGGTTAGATGTTTCTTTTCATGTGGCTTGTTTATAAACCTAGTATTTTGTAGAAAGACAGATCTAGGTAAATTAGGGTTGTTCTAAAGTGTCCTGTGCTGTATAGTTGAGCCAGATTTGCATATTTTTTTTTCTACAGCTTAGGCATGTATCAAACCATGAAATAGTGATTATATTGGCTCACAGTGAAAATACATATACTGGTTTTGAAAAGAATATGCTAGTTTTCTCTTTTTATTTAGTGCATATTTCAAATGCATCTATGGTGTATTAAATTTAAATATATATGGTATTGAAGAGCATAGAAACTAAAGGGAATACAGACAGTGAAAATTCTTAAGATATTGCCCAAGAGGGTTGGTGGGTTTTTTTTTGTTTTTTAGCTCCTCAGAGAGCTCTAAACTTAGTAATAACTGCTAACAAGTGTTGTTATTTCCTTTATGCCTGGGGTTTAGAAATCACTTTCCTTCTACTTTTTCTGCTCTTGAAGATGTACGAGTTCAGTTTTACTGTATATTAAATGCTGTGACATTTTGCTTTACGCCACAGATAGCCAGTTCCTTAGCACATCCTGAATGTAGGTTGGCTTAGTTGGGTCAAGACAGCCCAGACCAGATGCTGCCTTGAAAGTAGCTGTAGTACTGAGTTGTCACAGGAGCGGTGCTGAGTTCTTACATGCTCTCAGGGTGTGAGCAGGCTCTGCACAGGGCCAGCTCTGCTATCACTGTCTCCACTGACCTGCAGCTTACATGTACACTTAATGTTTCATACCCTGGTTTGTTTGGCCAGCTTATTCAGCATGTGCTGTTCCTCAACTGAAATTTTGTCATGCTATATCCCTTTTCCTGTCTTTTCAGCTGGCCTAATAAATTGATTAGTGTGCTGTATCTTGTGAGTTGCCAGGAATCAAATGAAGCTGTTAGTTCACTTGCGTTGATGTAGTATGTTGTTACTTACTTCTTTCACCTTTTGGGGGAGTAGTAGTCAAACACCTCAGTTCTGGAGAGCTTGCTGATAACTTTTTGAACAAAATATGCTGTATCTTACCAGCCCCATTGGAATGTCCATTCTTACAGGAAGGCGATGGATAAAGCAGATGTTCATTGGAGCCTTCCTTATTCCGGCAATGGTGTGTGGAACTGCCTTCTTCATTAACTTCATTGCTATCTATTATCATGCTTCAAGAGCTATACCCTTTGGAACTATGGTGAGTCATTTTACTGGAGAATTTAAACACCACTGTAGGCACAGGAAAACTACATTTTACTCTAAATACAATTGTGAGTCATAGCTTTAGCTTCCTAGGTAGAAATTTATTCTAGGAGCAGTTTAAGGTGCTTCAAATATAATTCATTTTAATCATAATAGCAACAGCTGCTGGATGCCAATAGCAGTCTTCTCTCTGCTTAAAATGACATTTCTACTTTGTATTCAAGAGCAGTGTTACAACAACTTGGGAAGTTAGTAACTTGAATTTTGTACTGGATGGCCAATTGAAACTGGTTATAAGCTAAAAGAATTCCAAGTGAAAGCGACTTTCAAAACATTGCAGTCAAGCAGAAAAAATGAAAGACTAGGCAACAGTATGAGATGAGACGTCCTGAGGAGATCTGGCTTTACAAAAATGAATCACTGTTTTCACTTTGTGAAGTTGTATTTAGTATCCAGTAATGGTCTTGTGTCTGTGTATGAACCATGTCACTTGAAAAACAATGCTGGTTGGATTACTTTTTCATTTAATCATGATGACTTTTCTTGTTTCTTGTGGCTTTTGTCAGAATTTTGTTTGTCATGGCCCTTTCAAGCAACCTTGCATAACCCTATGAATCATAGTATCATAGAATGGTTTGGGTTGGAAGGGACTTTAAAGTTCGTCTAGTTCCAACTTCCTGCCAGAGGCAGGGACACCTTCTGCTAGACCAGGTTGCTCACTATGTCCCCTGTCCCTGCCCTCGCTTTAATCCTGACCCATAAGCTCTCAGTCAGCTCCTCATCCATCCCAAGGCAGAGCTCCATGCACTCCATGTTGTCATTGACATACAGTGCTCTCCGCCAGACATTGGCCATACAATGTAAGAAATAATCACTTGGTGCTTTGGCAGAATTTCTGTTTGAACTTGCAACAGGTAGTATTTGAGGGCAGATTTATATTTTTTTTTTTGTAAATATGCGCCATAAAATTGCTTTTTCTAATTTTGTGCAGTAGCACTGTTAACTTAAGAAATATTTTAATACAGGAAGGCTTGTTTTCAATTTCTGTAGCAGGACTTGGGATTTAACATTTTTTATACCTTCCTTTTTGCATATTGATATTTGTGATATGTTAAATTGTTCAGTCTATTCAGAGATGTTTGAGTAGCCTTGGATTTCTTTTTAGTTTAAATCCACCATAAAATGAAGATTAGTATCACAGGTTGTGTCTTACATATTGTATTATTTGGGATATAATACAATTCAGTATGTGACTGAAAATACTTCTTAAGAACACATTGTTAATGAATGAATGTGGTAGAAATCATAAATGCCAATAAATAAGACAATTCTCAGTTTCAGGCAAAGGCTTTAAACAATTTTTTTACTGATAGAGTAGTCATTAATTTACATGTACATTGCTGGTTCTTGTCACCTCTTTATTAGCAGTATTTTCAATGCATGCCTAGACACCAACTTTTTCCGTTGAATTCATTGTTATAAACCCACTAAGTATAATATCAAGCTAGATATGCTTATAAACTGTTCACTTATTTTTTTTCTGATTTTCTTGAAGAAATTATACTAAATTTCTATCTTTGGATGTGTATGTATTAGTTTTTGCCCTAAAGGAATACTGTATTGGTTTTTCTTTCCTAAACTAGCAGTCATATACAGTACTGTCATAAAAGTTTACAACATTGATCTTTGTTATGTGCAAAGAGGCTCTGTTTTACTGTTGAGCAAGCATTTATGGTATCACATTTCTGACTTGTATTCCCATTCGGAGGTCAGGAATGCTGAGGGAAGGGAATTCCACCTGTGCTGAAGTTTGTCTTGTAAATCTCTTCAAGTGATTTGTATTTTAAGATCATGGAAACATGTATATGCCAGAAGCAAATGGGAATATGAATCTTCAGGGGTCACTTAATCAGGATGTTAGGACTCTTTATACACAGTGATTTTAATGATCTCAAGGTTTTATGAAAGTGTTTGAATCATTATGACTGTGGCAATAAAACTTTGGTGGAGTTAGCAGACTTTTAGTAGGAGCAGGTTATGAATCGTAAACTTCATCAGCATAAGCAATGCTCTGATGGCTTCAAAGCAGCTAATGAAGCTGGTTTGTAGAAGGAAACGATAATTGTTTGAAATTACTGTGTTCTGCCTTGGATTTAAGTTACCAGGAGGCCCTCTGGCTTTATGGATGAGGAACCTTTTTGTCTTCCTGCCTTTGTTTTCAAGGTAGAGAAGCTTCGAGAATTCTCTAGTGCAAACTTGCTGCTGCTGCTTTCTTGGGAAAATAAAACCTCAGCCACCTCAATGTACTAGGACACAAAGATTACTTCTTTTACTCTGTCATGTCTTGAAACCAACCCTCCTTGATTTAAATTGCTGGCAAGAATTACCACTTTTTCTTGACTACGGTAAATCTTGAAAAAGCAGAAACAGGGTTGCTGAAAAAAGTCTCTGAGCTAAAAGGTTGCTAAGAGACTGTGCTTCAATACGATACCCTGTGCATTGCCATTTTGCATTGCCATTCCTCAGTAAACCTCTTGGTAGTCTCTTCTCTGTGACTTAATTCCTCCTTCCAGACAGATTTTTCTATGGAATGTAGACAAGGGCAGCCAGTAGTGTCAAAGACAAGATATCCAAGCTAACAGTTGCTGCATCTGTGATTTACTGTCTGCTCTTTTACACTTTGTCTTGAAATGCTCAGATAGATTGGGCTCTTCAGGACCCTCATACGCCTCGTCATTGCAGTCTGTTTTTCTGGTTTGAACTTCAAAGCTCCATTCACCTCATATATCTCATTCCTGATGACTGGGATGTCCTTGAAGATGTGGTTGGTACTGGGAAGATCCAAAGCTTGTTTCTGAAATAATTCTTCGGTCTTTAGCCCTATTAGCTATACAATGGAAGCAGTCTCACCTATGCTCTGACAGACCTTATGTAGTGAAATACACCATGAGCCTGAACAAAGACTTAACCTCTTCCCTGGGATATCTTTCAGCTGCCTTTCCCCTCTAAATGCAATAAAGACTGTGACAGATTTTATTCAAATATGGGAGCTTTTAAAAACTTGATAACTTAAAACTTTCAACTCCTTAAGCATATGAAAGAGAGAGAGAAGTCTGGGGTTTGTTCTCTCATCTTTTCACCTTTATAGAAATGCAGTGGGTGCTGTTCAATTCTTTGTTCTTTTGGAGCCCAAATTTGATTTTTTTGGGGTGTTTTGGTTTGGTTTTTTTTTTTTTCTTTTAATTATATCCTGTTACTGGCGAACATAGAGGAGTTCTGAAGGTGTTGTACACCTTGACTTACCTTCTGTTGCTGTTTGTTAATCTTTTCAGTGTACTTACCAATCACCTTTCTATTTTGTTGTGTTTAAATTATATGCAAAAAATGGAGCATGGAACAAGTAAAAAGAATTTTACATAATGGCAAGTTAAGTGACCTCTCCATATATGTTTGAGGAGTGTGGTGGTAGTTCTCTGCAGAAATACTAAGTAATGCAGAATTTCTACAGACTACAGTATGATTGAATTTGAAGGGAGCATCTTCAATCTGGTATCTCATATGTTGTGACTGCTTTATGTTGTTCTGTGTGTGATACGTAATTTAAAGATTTCCATTAAGGATTCTATGACTAATGTAATGTTCTGACTGCAGCATCCATGCAGTTTCTATTAAACTGCTTAAGATGTAACATTTTTGTTTCATTTGAGCAGTGGGTTCCTGGGTGGCTAACGTTCCCAGTATGCTTTTTAAATGATTTAATTAAATAAGGTTACACACACTGATTTTCTCTTGGGATCGAGACCCTAGTGTTTGCGTCTTTTATACCTTGTTTAAACTAGAAAAAAGTTTCCTCCAAGAGATGGCTTAATCCAGGCTGCAGCCATCCCTGACAGCTCTAAGTTGATACGACTATTGGCTGCCACTGAAAAAGGAGGACCTGGTAGCGCCGATGATTTTCATGCCTTGAGCCAGTTAAGGAAATACACCTGGCTAAAACTAGAAAAAAATCTAGTTATATACATTTAGCAGGATAATATCCTCGGATTGCCTGAAAGTGACTGTGGAACCCGTGGCTAAAAGCCTCGTTTTTGCTGAAAATAGATACAGCATAATGCTTCTGCCTACATTTTCAGCAGTTCAGTTTATTACCCAAAGCAGCACCCTAGATTAACAACTTAGTTGTAATAAAATTAGTAGCACTTTATTTTGAAGCCTTCTATTCTTTTCTTGTTCTGTATAATGTCTGGCCAGATGATGTGCAGAAAACTGTTTCATTATACAGATTCAGTAACCTCTATATGGGGGGAGAGTCTCATGAGTGAGAGTGCAGTTTTGATAGCTGATAGGAAAGACCAAGCTGCTGCTTTGACAGTTAATTTTTATTGCTTTTCTCCCTTGTGCATTAAGCAGTCAAGGCACCATAGCCTGCCAGTAGCTGTTTAATATTAGATATGCTCATAAAAATTTTAATTATCACCTTTGAATGAAGTTTAATCTACAGTTGTCAGAAAATATGAAACACATGGCACTAGAACATAAATTATATCCCTCTTGACAATGCTTCCGTTCAAATAAGGAAAAGTGAATTCCGCACATTCAGTCAAGGGCAGTAGAATATTCTTTCCCCATTAAACCAGAACAAAAATGGATTAGAAAGAATGCAAGCTTGGTGAGACTGGCAGTCTCTTCTGTGGCAACTAAAACCTGCAAACTAAATCAGATGCTTTTGTATAAATATGTCAAAACAAAATAGGTATGTTTCAATATACTGGCTTGCTAGAAAAGCTTATATAATTAATATGTCTTCAGCAACATGGATTATGGAGAACATGCTTGGTTTTTTGGTGGAAAACTGGGGTTGTAGATCTAGTAGATCTGCCTGTTTACATAGTCTGTGTTTTTTGAAGTAGCTAAAACTGTTCTCTGACTTTCTCTTGGCTGATATTACATTACTTCTCTTAAAAGGCTCACAGAGGCTTAACTTTTTTACCTCTGCCAGTCATGCAACAGCTATTATGGGGGTTTGAGCTCCTTGGTATGTTACCAGTGACCTCTGTAGGGAGGTGCTTCTGCTGGAGGGCAGAGAATGTGGAGATGGTGAAATGGAGACTAGTAAGTGCCTGAGCTGTTTTCACCACTGTAATCTTGTTCTCTGAAACTTTGGGGGCAGAAGTCTCAACTTCATCTCTTTTTCAGTGAAGGTACTTGTGTACCCCAGTGCCCTGTGTTCGTTTCGGTTTGGATTTAAACTCTCTAGGTTCAGATACTGCCCAGCCTACATCTTGAACTGCCCTTGCTATGTGTGGCAACGGGCACTACCTGTTCAGCCTGGGAGGGAGACAGTCTTCACCTCGGATCTGAAGTTAAGAGGAACATGCTTGAAAGGGCAGAAGCTAGAAAGGCCAGCTGTCTTCAGTCTCTCACATTCAGAGAAGACTAGTGCAGCCAAGAATGAAGACAGTAAATATTCAGCAAGCATCAGTCTGTGCAGGTAGACTACCTTGGAGTCAAACAGAATTGAAAGCAAGAAAGAAGATGTTGTGGAGATCAGCAGAGTGTGTGTTGATTCTAACCAGTACCGGTTGTGTTGGTCAACCTACTAAGACCAGCGTGTTGCTGTCACCAGGGTGGGGTTTTGTCAGAAGACAGGATGTTCACATCTTTGTCAGCTTGAACAGCTTATTAGAGGCAGGTAGAAGTGGGAGGCATTCCTGAGTCTGCACTATGGTCCATCCTTGCCTGCCTAGTTGGGCCTCCTTTGCACTGCAAAAGCATGTCAAATAATTTCTAGACTCCTGAATGGCTCCAGGGAAAAAGGAAAAAAAATTGTAGTTCAACTCCAGCTATCCTCAGAACATAGCATAGCATTAAGACAGCCAGTTCACTGTTAACAAAACATTGACTGTACTGATGCTGCTTACTGGATTTCACTGAAGGTGCTAGCTGTTCTGTCTGAAATCAGTTCCTTTTGACTAATAGAATAGAATGTTACACCATTATCAGTAATGCTTTGGCTGATCTGATAATGAAACCACAAGCACTCGGATTTTCTGACAGATGCCAGTTACAAGTGTGCTAGGAGCAGGTTGGCAATACTTATGAAGAAGCCATTATTCAAGGAACTTCGGTCTGTCTCAGCTTGTTTTATGAAAATAAACATTTTAGAATTCAGAGTTAATGCTGAGTCAATTTCCTAGGCAACAGCGCAGCCAAGCTCTGCTGGAGCAAGTTGGGCCTTCTCCTTACCCGCCTGATTTGATATTTCCTTGCTTGGCTCCTTGTCCAAGGTTATATTCTTTCCATGGGGATTCTCTATGGTAGATTTGTTTTGCAAGATGGACTTTTACAAGCTACTAAGTTTTGTTCCAGGTCTGCTGGGAACCCAAGGCTGTTCCTGGACAGTTTCTTTCTGCACTAAAGCAGTGGATTCACTTTATACCACTATTCCCGATCAGAGGTAATTTCTGAGATCAAGAAACAAAGCTACAGGCATTTTGGTAACTGCAGTGTAGACAGTTGTGGCTGGGTGAGAGGTACAAATGCCCTGTCATGCTGCCCATATCTGAGCTTTCTGCCTCAGTCAGATTTGAAACCTACCAGCTGGGGTGCCATGGAGTACCATGGATGGGGCCACCTGAAACAGCTGGAGGTCCTTGCTGGGCTGGAAGAAGAGCAAGCTCTTCCTGCAGTTGGAATTGGTTTCAATATGGTCAGCTTGGAATTTATTTGTATCCTGGATTCTTGGATATCTCTTCTACCCAGTGCACCTCAAACATGCTGGGACTTCTGGTCAGGATTTTAGTAAATATAGCAATCAGGATGATGTGTTTTGATTTTTTTTCCAATACTTTTTTGACATTTTTCTCTGAAAATTCTCGTCTGCTCTTCTTTTAGACTGAGCAGTTTTAAAGGGCAAAACCTTCATCCATTAAGTGAGTTAATTGAATACTTCTGTAATTTATTCATAGGCAACCTAAGACACTATGCTTGCTTACCTGTGTTTTTTCAAGTAGCGGAAGAAGATAAATAGGAGACAAGAAATATGTATTGTTTAAAATCTGCTTTATTATTGGCAAGTACAAATACTACTTAACGTTTCCGTATTTACCATTGAAGCTTCATATACTAGTGGCTCATGATGTAATTCTTTAATAACCTATCCTCAGAGATACACAGAGCAGTCTGGACAGTGCTTCTGCTTGTTGACCGCCTGTTTGGTGTACCCCTTCTATGAAGCATGAAGGCAACATTTGCCATTCACATCCGGCCTAAGCTAGTAATGCTATGCAAGTCAGTAGTAGAGGGATAACCCACTGACTTTTGTCAGATGTTGCCTGGTGTGATTGATGTAATGCTTTGTATTGAGCTAATGTGGTTCTGGCTTTTCAGCTACTTGCAGTAGAATTCTATAGATACAACGTATGTGAACAGCCTTCATTTACCCTGGAGTTACTGCTTCATAAACAAGTCAGTGTGTGTATCTTAGACTTGGTCCTCTATCCATTGTTTTAGATTAATCTGCTGCCATGGACTTTGTGTCCTGATGGAGTGAAAGAAGACTATAGCCTCTTTGCTCAGGAGGCAGCAGGGTGTACACAGCACCTCAGGCAACAGCACTTTTAAAAGGCAGTATTTTCATATGCTTGCAAGGAGAAGGTCGCAGGGTCAATATTCAGAACTATGGTTATTGCATAACCGTAACATTGGTAACTGTTCTGTCTTTAATTATCAATATCAGAAACTTAAACTGTCTAATGCAAATGTATTTTGTGAATAAATGTTACAAGTAGAGAACATCTTGCTAAACACTTTAAATTTCCCTGTTTTGGAAGAAAAGAAATACGATGCCTTTAAGGAATAGCAGAAGTAGAGCTACATACATATATGGGGAAAAAAGGTGATTCATGGTAAAATTTTAGGGAGGCTATTCCGTTGGAAAGAGCTGGAACATTGGCTTGACTTCCCCTCATTGTGCATAAACCTAACCTCTATATGTAAGTAGGACCATTGCACTTCTAAATTGTGTATGTGTGCATACGAACAATCACTTTGTGTGCATACAAATGGCCATCTTTGGCAGTCTGTGTTCTTAATTACCCAGTTAGTGGATAGTGGAGAAAACTGAACCCAAAATTTTGGTTGGTAGCATTCTGGGGTGGCTTTGCAGTTCTTGTTTGGGTTTCTTTTTTGGATTGGATTAAAAATTTTGCACCCAGCAGTTCTAATATTGTGCAACTGCCTAACTGCTAGATGTTAACTCCCAGGGATAGCTTACTCTGCAAAAGACAAGCTGACAAAATTTTCTGTGAAGTACCATGAAGATTTCCATTTCTTCCCTGTGCAGAAAGTCTGAATCTCTAATGGTTCTGTTCTCTTAACTGATGCAAGAAAATATACTTAATAATGATTATTAAGAAGTTTCTCAGGAAATTTGACTAATGGTTCATAACCAGGAATATGATTCTACAGCAGTAATAAGGGCTAATGCATATATAGTGTGGGCTGGTTGTCTTTTGTCATCTTATGCCTGTTGGGCTTTTATTTATTTATTACTTTATTTTTTGCTTGCAGGTGGCAGTGTGCTGTATTTGTTTCTTTGTCATTCTTCCATTGAATCTTGTTGGTACGATTCTTGGCCGAAATCTGTCGGGACAGCCTAATTTTCCATGTCGTGTCAATGCAGTGCCTCGTCCTATACCAGAGAAAAAATGGTAAAGATAAGCATAAATGTTAACTAGAAGTATTCACTTCAGTATGTTTAAAATGACTTTTCAGGTATGATCATTAAATAAAAAAGTTGTTAGAGAAAAACTTTAAATTGAGCTGTGCCTTGAAGAATAGCTTTACTAAAACTTCCCTTATATGATTTTTCTGTTGAATTAAAACATGATAGTAATAGTTGTAGCAAATTTTACAGCCCTGGATCATTGATTCACATTTAGCCTGATATGCTCTTTAGTCTCTTACGTAAAAGGGATGGTCCCAACCCAGTTCTTGTATAGGTATCTTGAAACTGAACCTTCCTCTTTAGTTAATGCCTCTTACAGTTTTAGGGTTGAATGTGCCTCGGAGGCGGAACTATTCTGGTTAATGGTCTCCATGTACAAGCTGAGACATCTTTGCAGGGTGATGGTGGGGAGAAGCTTGCAATGCTCTTCCCAATTCTGCACTTTTGTTAATGGCACAGAGCCTAAAATATTCCAGGTATACCATTTGAATTGTGACTAAGCCTTTATTTTTTTAAGTAAATGTAAAGCGGTGTCTAGTCTCAAAAAGCAGACTTGAGGTTTTGGAAAATCATGAATGCAGTCACTTTTTCCTATTGGTTTAATTCTGAGGTGGAAGCAGCAAGCTACAGAAATGAAAATATCCTTAGAGGATTTTTTTTTAATAGATTTTTCTTGCTTTCCCGATTCAGAGGAACGGAACTGACAAAGTGAACTGGGCTCTGAAACATGTATGCCTGTGATATCCAGGAAGTGCAGCACACTTGGTCTCTTGTCAGTGGTGGGTTGTGCAGCTCAGATACTAGGATTTGATTTGTCCTGTGACCTGTATCTTTGAAATCTGATGGATTTTTCTGGATCAGCATGACAGATAAAAAGAAATAAGATACTTATCTTGAAGATGATGAAATTGCACACCGTCAACTTAGACAAGTCTCCCTATAAATAATAAAGGAAGCTGCAAATTAAATCACTGCTTACTAGCTAGATTCAGCATCATTGCAAGTCCTACACAGAGGTCACCATTAGTAAGTGACAGTATCATCTACAGGTAGCTAAGTATTCATTTTTGGCCATAGCTTGTGACTCAGCGTAGCATTAAAAATAAACACTGGCTTTTAGTTAAATAACCATTACCCTGCACATTTTTTTCTCTGCTTTTTTTCTGTATTTGTAGCCATCAACAGCACTGAGTTTTCTCTACTTTTGCTCAAGGCTAATGGATGTTATAGGGCTTGATTGCTTAGGTCCTTCTGGGACAAGGGAGATCCTTTCTGTAGCCTTTAGGACTGGTAGATACCTAACTTCCTGCCTGTAGGTGATATAGGCATGAGTCTTATGTTTTGTTTCATCTTTCCCCAAGAATAACTTCTCCTTCTGTCCATACACGGCATCTTTGGGGGAATCTTCTTTCTAATATGCTGGTATGATACAGAAATGTTCTTGTTTAGCATGTCTTTTAAATAATTCTCTGTGCTATAGTAGTAGTTATCTGTTTATATGTCTTAATATATTTATAAATGCAAGATGAAAATTGCCCCTAAACTAATCTTAACATCTTTCAGGTTCATGGAACCAGCTGTTATTGTTTGCCTAGGTGGAATCCTCCCTTTTGGATCAATTTTTATTGAAATGTGAGTCGTGTCAGCTATTTACCAATTTGATTACAAGTTATAATCAATTGAGTTGAATTACAATATCGTCGCATATTTTGTTTACTCTCCAGGTATTTCATTTTTACTTCATTCTGGGCTTACAAGATCTACTATGTTTATGGCTTTATGATGTTGGTTCTGGTTATCCTCTGCATTGTGACAGTTTGTGTGACCATTGTTTGTACGTATTTCCTGCTAAATGCAGAGGATTACAGGTGGTAAGTATTGCATTATTTGCAGTTAACCACATTATGGGAGTTTTAGAGAACGATAGTGTTTCTTCAGTCTAGATGGGTTTTTTCAAAGTGTCCCATGTCCAGATTTTAGCTGTCGGGAAGAAAAGCAGTTCTTGGATCCTTTTTGTACAGGAGCTTTCTGTGGGTATGTGCATCTGTGAGTGCATGTATGTTTGTATAAAAATTGTATATGAAGGCATGCAGGAATATGAAGAAGGATCATCACTTGGTGTCGATGGTAGCTGTTGCAGTAGAGGCTTTTGTCACTTACAGCAGACAACATCTAGATTTTGTTAAGTAAGTCTGTAGAATCAGTGCACTTTATTTTCAGACTAAGGTTTTAGTGTGTTGTGCATCTTCTTGGGAAGCCTTTTGGTTAGATATATGGTGGATGTGTGTTTACTTTCAGGCAATGGACAAGCTTTCTTTCTGCGGCATCAACTGCGATTTATGTTTACATGTACTCCTTTTACTACTACTTTTTCAAGACAAAGTAAGTGGTAGTTTTCTTCCTTGAATATCAGATTACTGCATTTTCAAATAAGTTTATTGATAAAAAATAGAGAAAATACGTAGCATAAATTCTTGCCTGTCTTTTTCAGGATGTATGGCTTGTTTCAAACATCATTTTACTTCGGTTATATGGCAGTATTTAGCACAGCTTTGGGAATAATGTGTGGTAAGTTTCAAATATATTGACAGCTTTCTAATGGAATTTTCCAGACTGTTGTGTTTCTGATTTTTGCTATGTAATTTTGATTGTGGAGTGTGTATGTCTGCAAGATCTGCTCAAAAAAGCTTACAATTTTGAAAAAGAATCTTGGAGTTCTCTGCTTATACTTCGTTCCTAACTAATACAGATTTCTGTGGATTGTGCCTTCTGATAGGAAGATAGTTTATGTACTGTGCAGAGAATTTCATCTTCAGCACAAGCTTGGAAGACTCAGTCTTAGGCAAGAAGTTCTGCAAAACAAATTCCAAATTAAATTGAGTCCATGCTAGCATTTTGTTGTGCAGTTTTTACTGGTGCCCCAGGAAAAGGAGCTAGGTATAACCGTTGAGGCACCAATGGTATCACAGTACTGATGTCACTACTGTCTGTATCTTGTGGCATGTATATATGAGGGTGACCAGAACAGAAGGACTGAAATTTCAGGTTAACATTTGAGAAGGAAGTATTGGGATATTCAAGGCTGAGAAGAGTTCAGAATGCTCCTGTGTGCAGCTGGATTTCGTTGCTTTTTAAGATTCTGTTTTGACAGATGTTTAGAGTAAACCACAGTTTTCGGCATGGAGGTCATCTAATAAAGTCAGATGTACTTGTTCATCTGTTAACTTTATTTTTATCCTTTCCTTCATGACTTTCTGAAAAGTGCTACTTAGTTCTTTTGCACTTTGTATGATGTTATTTGCTTTTTATGTGTGATCTGTATTTAATACTTCTCAGCAGTGAATGAATAGTGCTATAGATATTGATGGAAAGATTTCTTTGCATTAGATATTTGAGACATATAATGTCTTACAAGAACTTAATTTCTGTAAAGTATACATTTCTTGATATCCCAAGAGGGTGGGTAATTTCACGACACTTTATAAAAAAGGGAGGGAAGTAATCTCTTAACTACTGAGTACCTGTTCCCCTTTTCTCTCATACAATCTAATCTTGCTTCATCAGGTTCTTGGCACATTACAAGACTTCCCTGCTGTTCTGGTAGTCTTGCAGCCATTTTTTTTTCCTTTTTTTTTTTTTTTTTTTTTTTTTTTTTCTTTAATAGGCTTACACTTTTCAGCTCTAATCTTTTCTTTTTAAAGTACTTAGGCTGGTATTGATTAAAATGTCTATGATGCAGAAGCCAAGCTTGCCCACTAGTTTCTGTAATTAAAATGCTTTTTAAAACATAGAAAAGGAAGATTGTCAAATGCTTTCTTGCCATGGTAGGACACTACTTGATGGAATATTAGGGTAAAATCCAAATATATTCAAAATCAGAAAATAACACATTGAACTTCATTTCCACAGCTCTATTGAGATTTCTTTTTGTCTTTTTAAGTGTGTTGGAAGAGAAGCTGTGAGATTCCTTTTTAGTGAGAACTCCCATTTACAGCATGTGGAGGGAATAAAAAAAAAAATCCCCTGTCAAAAAGCATTTGTTTAGGGAACTTGCTGCCATTGAGGTCTAACAAAGACATTTGTGTTAAGGAATTGTGCAGTATGTGTGCTACTGACTGTATGTCTCCTGTGAAACATGTGTAGAGCTGTGCTTTGGAGGCTCACACAGATGGGCGTGTTCAGCAGCATACAGCTGAATATGAGACAAACTAGTTAGGGTCCAAAGCAGCCACAGGGAAACTCTCTGTATGCTTGTATCATCCAAGTCGGGTTTTAGTTCCCCTGACAATGCCTAGTGAACTCAAATCCCACATGTAGTGGGATGCTTTGATCCACAAAGTCTGCTGCTCTCTGTAGAGCATCTCAGTGCTGGGACTGGACAGTAGGGAGCCCATGAGAACTTCCAAACCTTTTGAGCTCCTTGTGTTTCCCTCTTAGTGACAGAAAAGAATAAAACTTACTCCCCAACTCAGTGGATGGCTTAGGAGCTAGGTAGTATACAGAATGGCCTCTTATAATGCCACACTTCAGCATCCAAATAAATACTGTAAGTACGATTGAAGAGCTTTTCAAAAGAAATTCTGTGTATACCGTCACAATGGTAGTAAGTGGTAATTGGTTTGAAGTAACAGATGAGAAATAATCTTTTTTCTGTTCTATAATTTCTCTTCCTCACTATTTTGATTTGTCTGATTTTTTTTAGAAGCTTGTTCTGCTGAAATACACTTGCAGTCTGTTTCTGCTAAACCTATATAGGCCGCAACCAAGTTATAAATATCATCTGATAAGGCGTTTAATAAATAAATAAAATAATTCCCTTTACTGTGGACTTTTTATGCAAATGAGCCAACTGTCCTGCATTTGTTTCAGGAGGAGTTCTCTAGTCGTCATTGTCTAGGGTTTCCCCCTCCCTGCCCCATGTTTTATTCAATGCCAGTGAAGTAGCCTTGAGGCTTAACCCCTGCCTTGGGTATGGGCCATTAGTGGTCTTCATGGATAAGGCTCCTGATTCAGAACAGGTTTTGATTTGTTTATGGGGTTGAGAGCTTGTGGCCTCATGTGACTGCTACTCTCTGCTCCTCCCCCTCACTTCCATCTCATGCACACATTCACTAGATCCCAAATGAAACACAATTAATGCTTTGTTCTCCCAAATCTTTGTGGTATCACTAGAGAAACCCCCAGAGAACAAGTTCTGGAATATATCTGACTTTAGCAACTAAAATGGGCATTGAATCTGTTGGTAGTGCCTGCTTTAACAGGCAAAACATGACGAGTCTTAAAACTGGAGTTTAGTGACATTATTTTGTCCATTTACTACGTAAGACAGAAGATGAGTTTGTTGACAGACTACAGAAGAAGCTGTGTCTGCTGCTCTAAGCTCACATCACCAAGCCTATGCTGTAATGGTCTCTCCTGGAACTACCAGGCCTTCACAGAATCATTTCCTCTGGTGCATCCTCAGCACACTTCATGCTTGGAAGCAGCAACCTGATCTGTGTGCTGTATTTGTTTTAATTGAACTCTACTTTCTCCAAGTTAGTAATACAAATCCCTGATTTGCTGGCCATGATGCTCATACAGCTTGAAACGCTGTACAGCCCAGAGGCTGACTCCACAAGCCTTTTAGCACTCTGGTAGCATTGGAACGATGCATTGCATTTGCCTTGTGCAGATTTCCTGATTACATATAAATGTTGGCTTTTGGGGTCTAAACCCCAAAATTTTGTGGATGTTTCATGGCTAACCTCAGGAATTATCCAATCAGTCTGCAGGATGTAAAGAACTCTACAGATTCTAACAATCTGAAAGCAGTTGTGTCTAGTTCTTCCTTGATTTTCAACTTCACTTCTAACCTGAGAATGAGCCAAACTGACTTCCACAAGGCTGATTTACTCTCATTTTGCTTGGAAGAGATGAAGCTATTACCTGTGGATATTGCAAGACAACAGTATTTATTGAGACTGACAAATGTGAGGTTCTGGGTTTGACCAGCTAGGTTGCTGAATCTCTTTCTGAGAAGAAGTCTTGGTCCAGTGCGTTTCTTTCATTTCTAGCTGTCATTAGCCTTGCAGTATTTTGGGTTTAGTATAAACTGTTGCCCCTATCAAAACCCAGTGACCTGTTCTTTTATAACTGCTGTGGCAGTGCATACTCTGCTCATGATTCTTACTAATTTGAAAACCACAGGTTGCAATTTCCTTTAACTACTAACTGCTACTAGTTTAATCTCTTTGTACAGACCTCCTTGGAGTTTAAGACTCCTGGGATGGGGATCCATTATTATTTGTGCTTTGTGGGAATGAAAAAGCCATCTGCCAATAAAACGCTCATCCAGAAGGCACGTAACTTATAATAAAAACCCACCTCCCATCCACCTTCCCCACAGAGTGGGTGATTGTATGTTTTTTACCCTCTGTTCAGAAAAAGAGACCTGGTTATTGGCAGCAGTAGGGGGGCTGCTATATTTATCAAGGCCAAGTGAGCATGGGCTCTTGGTAAGATGGCTTAATGGATTTGGATTGCTAGACTAGGGAAGTTCTTGCCAGACGTTCACTGGAAACATGGATAATTGGAGTTTGAAAACAAGTATTGCAGGTAAATAATTTTCTGTGTGCAGAATGCATGCTTTAGGTGACTTTCTGTTTAAGTGTGTGTGTGCTTTATATTCCTGGCCTATTTAGATTATCAGCTTTCTAACATACTCAATGTTTTTTGTTTATTTTGCAGGAGCTATTGGTTACATGGGAACAAGTGCCTTTGTTCGTAAAATCTACACTAATGTGAAAATTGACTAAGGAAATATGAAAATAGAACTATGGATCAGCTCCTGTTTTCATGGGGATGAACTTGCACATGAAAAAGCGCGAGAAGAGATTTGGGTTTTAACACTGGGCACTATATGGGTCTCCATTTTGTGGATGGCTTAAAGTAACATCTATTTCATTGATCCTAGGTTCTTACTGACTGCTTTCTCCAACTGTTCACAGCAAATGCTTGGATTATATGCAGTAGGCATTACTACAGTACGTGGCTAATCTTCCCAAAAACAAAAAACATAAAACAAAAAACCTAGCTCATTAAAGATGAATAGACTAGCTCTCTTCAGTGAAGAGGACAAACGGTTTATTTAAAGCATTTGTTCCATTCAATAAAAAGAGGGAAACTTGGCTGCTAAAACTACTTGATTAGTAGTCTTCCTGGTACTTAACATTTCTAAATTATGTAAAAATGCCGTTCCAGAAAGATTACTCTTCTGATTTTTACTGCCATTGCCAGGATAGGAGGTATGTTTTATATTTTGACTCCAGGTGCTTTTTGGTTTATTTGCGATATCAACTATACCCTACACTCATTTGTTTAAAAAATAATTTAAAACTATATAGAAAACCCATATGCATGTAATATATCAGCTATTGTTCTAGTTGGACCAACTTCCCTTTATTTATCTTTAAAGTAATATCCAGCTACATCTTAAATCCATCCAAAGAAAATACAGTCTGAAGACGGGATGTGTTCTCTGCAATGCAATTTACTGTACAGTTAGAAAGCAAAATGTTAAATGAAGAGGATTGTTTTTTAATAAACAATTTGAGGTCTAGATTAAAACAAAACCAACATTTTAACTGAATGTCTAAAGTGATTCTCCTTTTTTCCAAGTTAGTCTTGCCTTTTTTTTTTTTTGTTTGTTTTTTTTTGGGTTTGAATGATTTTCCTTTAGACATTATACAAGGGGTAATAAGTGTATATAACATTAAATAATGTAACTTAGGTGTAGATCCCAAATGTATTTGGATGTACAGATTTACTACAGAGTACTTTTCTGATGATTCGGTGTAAAAATGTGTGAATTTGGGTGGCTTTTTACATCTTGCCTGCCATTGCATGAAAAGTTGGGGTTTCTTCACAATGTGTGTATGTCATGCTTTTCTGTTCTATTTCCTTTCTCAAGCTCTTACAGGAATTAAATTTGTAATTTAGAACATTTTAATTTTTGTTAATCCTATCTGGACACTTGTGTAACATCAAAAGCACAGTTGCTTTAGAGTGTTCAGAGAACTAAAATAAACTTTTCAGACAAAAATGTTCTGATTGTGAAAATAGATGAGTTTGCAATTGAAAAATGTTTGTAAAGGCGTGATACTGCTGAGCGCCAGTTGCTGTATACAACATTGGTGTGGCTTTCAAATATCAAAACCCCATGTTTTGAATTCAGAATTTGCTTACAACTGTATTGTACAGTACAGCTCCAAAGTGGATGACCAGCCCAAAAAGATTCTTCTTGGCTAAATCGTTTGTGGAGATTTGTGATCCAGCTAGTGTACTGAGAAAAGTAGGGGTAAGTGTGGGCTGAAATAAATGGGGCAAATAAAGGTTAAGTCTTTCTAAGATGACTGTTAATTACGCACTGTGTTTAGCTAGAAATATTCTGAATGTGTCTGTGACAGATTTGAGAGCCAGTTGGGTTGATACATGTATTTATTTTTTTTCCAGGCATCTGCCACATAGAGATGTTTTCATCAGTGTGGCTGTTTGAAATAGAGCACCTGCCATGGAGACGGCAACTTCCTGAATTTAAAAAATGAGCAAAGTGTGTGTATTGATTAGCACTGTATTGTCTCTCTGTAAAAGTCCTGATAATGCAGTAGCCACAATGAAAAACACCCATACTTTTCAGAGTCAGGTTGGAGGGTGGGGAAACTGAACTGATAGGTAATAGCGAGTAGCAATTCATCCTGCTGTATATGGCTTGTGAAAAGTATTTGAGCTTTCAGCTCTGATTTCCCTGGACAATTTTAACCAATCTGTCAGAAAATAATTAAGTTTTGCTTCAAGTGAATGGTTGATGTATGTAGCTGAGCAGTGCCATTTAACATTTTTTAAGTACAGGCTGATTTTAAGATGAGCCTATAAACTGGGTCAACAGTTAGTTTTCCTTTGTTCCAAAACATGGAGACTTAGAGCAAAGAATGGGTTTTGTACTAGTTCTTGCTGGTGCATACAGCTGTGGGAAGCCCTCTTTTCATCCATGTTCTTCTAAATCTGAAGTGAGAAGCCATTATCTCCACAATAAATACATTAAGTACTCCACCGAGATAAGTTTTTTAAAGGGAATATTTTGATAATGGGTCTGTTTCTCTATTTAGAGCACTGCTATGTGATTAGTCTATCAGAAATGTCACTAAACCGTTTGTGAATTTCATTTAATCACTATTTAATGCCACAGAATGGTGGGCTGCCTACTCGCTTTCTCTATCCTCTGGCATTATTAGCTTTTGCATATCCAGATAGGATTGTATAGCTTTTAAAGTGACATTGAAAAGATACTTACTGCAGAGACATTGCTTTTGTTTCTGCAAGCACGTTCTTCTGGAGAAGTACTGTGTTGAAATAATTGACATTTTTATACTTCCACCCTAGGACACGAGTTGGGGGTTTGGTTTGTTTTCCCCTTTTCTGGTTTCTGAAGGAGTGCAAATGTGACCAGTTTTGAACAGCTTGTCTTTATGGTTGCTGTCTGGGGCAAGGTTAGTTATTTGCACCCCCCCAAACTGTGGATATAGGTTGAACTATCTTGCTAATAGAATTCAGAAGCTCTCTGCTTAGATGATGTAGTCCTTCCTCTTTTATGGAAGAAATAAAGATCTTGCAGCCAACACTCCTTTTTCCATGATTGTTTTTTAGGAGTTTCTGATTCTTAAATTCACGCTTTTTGATAACTCATCAATTGGCTGCCCAGTGCTTCTCTTCCCACTTCTGCTACAGAAGCCAGAGAATTGGGTAAATAGTTGTGTACCAGTCTTGGTCAAATTCTTTAGATAAATGCAGCTGTATTTTCAGTTGAGGCAGAGTGCATATAGAAATTGCCTCTGGGACTTCATCTATGAAAAGTGGTGAATACTGGATTGGAGATAATGGAGACTGCAAATAAACATTATATTATGCTCTGTTTTTGATGTTTGAATGTTTCAAGCAACAGTGTCTATTAATTCCTCTCCAGAATTGCATTACAAAGTGTGTAAAGGGCACACAATTAAATTGCTTTCTGTATGATAGTTTAGGTGTGTTTCTTTAACAAGATTCAGGTTAAAAAACAAAACCAAAACCCTAATACTTTATACTTTTCAGTGCTAAAACTGGGGAAAATTGATAGCACATTATTACCACTATCCTTACTGCAGACGTAGCACAAATGAGAAACATTTTGCTCTGGCTTCAGCATCACCACCGTCTAGCCAGATTTGCCCAATGAAGTCTATGTACACAGCTACGCTGAAGACAGCAGAAACGCCTAACAGTGGGTGCATCAGCAATTTCTCCATTGGAACATGTCCAAAAAGCTTAAGCTCAGGAAAAATATTTAAGTCACCTCTACAGTCTGTGGACAAGTAAACTGAAACATTTGAGCTAGAGTGGAGTGGTCCTCTTGCCTTGAATTAATTCGTAACTGTGCAGCTTATGGTTCATTTTAAGAGTTATTTGGAACTGTAGGTTGGAGAAGGATTCCATTTTTGGATCCCTTGGATTTCTTCTAGGTAGATGTACTATGATAGTGGCAGCTTTGCAATGGCTATTAGCACTGCTGCTGTCCGAACCAAGTGTTTCTTTCTAGGATTAGCACTGAATTCAGGAAAGCCCCTGCTGTTGTTGGACTTCTGTTGGAATAAAGCCGTGCTTCAAAATTTTGAAGCACTACAATTATGGCTTGCATTTTTCAGGAGCCTTTTTTAACCAAAAAAAAAAAGAAAAGAAAAATTGATGCCATTTGTCTTCCAAAGCCTTGCAAAAGAACATTTGCTTTTTGCTGAATAGCTTCATTGAGAAAATTCTCCTATTTTTCTGAGGAGATATCTGCATGTGTGTCCTACAAGTTGTTCCTCACATCTCTCAGTTTTATCCAGGAGGTGCTTTTTTTTCAGTTGTGGGAAGGAGCTGTTGCTGTATTTGCTTTTATAACTAGTTCTGTGGTTCTGAAATTTTTCTTCCATTTTTGGGTTATGGCGTGCGGGGGAAGTGGGGGTGGGAAATGGGAGAACCCATGAATGTGGAAGGGTTTATGCAGTTCCAGTAAATTCAAGCAGTTCTTGGAGAGAATAAAGGGCAGAAACTCAACTGGGAAAAGGGTAAGAAAAAGTTGTTTTATTTGGTGGGCTAACCTATTTCAGAGACCTCTAGAGACAAAGTTGCTGTTACACTATCATTGCCCCCAGCCCCATACCAGTTATGGTCTTTTTGTTTTCATCTGTGTATTTGCCATGGTGCAAGCCTTTTGCAGTAAACCAAGAATTCATCTGTCATGAGCAAGCGAGATTGTTAGTTGCTATCAGCACTTTAGGCTTGTTGATAGGTTAATTTTCTCACCAGCTCCTAGTAATGCAATACTGAACAGTATGTTAAGTCTCTCTGGAGGTTCTGCCATGCTGAGGTGTCATTTGTTAGGAAAACCAAACCCATAGGAACTTTCCTTACATTCTAGATGGAAAATCTCCTTCAAGACCTTGAGCTTGAAGCATTCCAAAGCATAACTTTACAAGTTCATACTTACCCTTAAGCTGGTATTGCCTGACTGCAGCATTCCAGAAAACGCATGTGTTTTTATGCTTGGGAGTTTATGTGCAATAAACAAAATACCTAATTTCATGGAACTGGTATTTTAGGGTTTTCCAATACTGTGAGACATGGTTACCCATGCAGTGCAGCAGTTACCTTGATAGATTCCAGTTCACCAAAGCATAGACCTAAATGCTGTAGTTTTCTGAAAAGTTTTGAGGGTGCTTGGGCACTGACACCGGTTTCCCAGAGAAGCTGTGGCTGCCTCATCCCAGGTAATGTTCAAGGTCAGATTGGATAGGGCTTTGAGCAGCCTGGTATAGTGGAAGGTGTCCCTGCCTATGGCAGGGTGGTTGCAACCAGGTGATCTTTAAGGTCCCTTCCAACCCAAACCATTCTATGATCTTGTAGTAACTAACTTGCTCTGAGATGTTCCCAAACCTGGCTGAGAACATCATGCCACACTGAACTAAAGGAAGGCTTTGAGCGTATTCATTCTCAATTCTCAAAGATTTGTCTTGGGAATTTTGGTGTTGTATGATATACCAAAGCAGCGGACAAGGCATGGTGCTTTTCCGGGCTACTGGAGATGTAATGGACCCTTTGAGTTCATTTTATGCTATTTTTTGCATTCTGAATCATTACTCTTGGTTTAGCCATATCGCTTTATTGGGCTGAAAAAAATAGATTATATTACTAGCTTAGCATGGGGCTTTTCTAGTTTTGCTACAGAGGAGTAGCTACAAGAACAGGATGGAAATTTCCTCCTCATTTCTCTTATAAATGTCTGGCCAGAAGCTGGCAGGTGAATTGGTGAACGTTTCCAACTATTTGTTTTAAAAAGAGATCTGACATTTACAGACACCCATTTACCTGCAAGAATTTGAGAGGTTTATAATAAATTGTTGTAGAGATGCTATTAGGTTACTCTAAGTTTTGCATTTGGACTCTGCAGAATAGTTTTTAGCACTTTGAATTGCTTAGCTGAAGCTGAAAGTTGATTTTTGCTGAGATTTTCCCCCCTGTTTATCTCTCTTCCAGAAACTGATTAAACACTGTCCTTTGTCTGAATCTGAAATGTACCACTTCTTTTTTTAGTGACATAAGTAATGAAGAAGGAAATCTCTATGACTGGTTTTAGCTATCTAAAGAATGATATGTAAGACAAACCTTTTTAAAGTATTGTTTGCCTGACGAGAGGAAATACCTGCATGTTCTATGCCATAACCAGGTGTGTGGTTTGGATGAAGAGGTCACTACAGAAAAATGTAAGTACAGAAATCCTGTGCAGGAACTGTGGTTGGGAAACTGCTCTAAGGCAGTTTTCCATGAAGCAGCATCTCTGCTTTTTTGAGAGGTTCATTAAATTCTACCCACTGCTGGGAAACAGCCTAAACTCAGGTAGCTACCAGCCTCTGTAAGGAATGCCTGTGGGTGAAATGGTAAATGCAACTAGCCCATCCTCATTCATAGCAGAGGCTCAGAGGAATGTTTTTACTTTCCCAGATCCATCCCTTTAGGGAAAAAGAAAAA